TAGTTAGCCCTGGCTGTCCTGGTCTCCCTTTGTAGACCAGGCAGGCCTTGAACTCACAAAGATCCTCCTGCCTCTGCCTTATGTGTGTCAGGATTAAAGGTGTGCACCACTATGCCCAGTATGTGTGTTTATTTAAAAACAGCTTTCTGTTTTCCTGAGACAGCCAGGCTCTAATAGATACTCCTGTCCTTCTAGCCAACAAAATATTAGCTTTACTAGGCTCAGGCTGAAGTGTGGAGAAAAGATAAGCTAACTCACTGACAAAGGTCTTAAGCTTCCCCAGCCTGGTACAGCAGACACGAAGCCTTTTATAGTCTCAGGCTATAAAAGAAAGCTAACTAAGCCTGGGTGCATGCCTGAGCCAAAAGCATCATTCCTCTATGGTTCCTGATTCAAGTTCCTGCCTTGAGCTCCTGCTCTGACTTTCCTCAATGGCTGCAGTGATCTGAAACTCTTTCCATTCACGTAGGATCACAACAACAAGAATGAAACTAGAACAGGAATAAGTAAATAGCTCAGGAAATCCAGTCAGAGAGGGAAAAGGGGCCACTTTGTCACAAGTGACATAGTTGCACAACACTGTAATGCATCCCTTCCCTGACTGGTACCCAGTACCTGTATTTTTTTTTTTTTTTCTTGATGTCTTTCCAACTGAAGCTTGTTTTTATCACCCAGAAATGTCAGAAAATTAATCCAGGCTCCACATTTAAGAAGAACCCACAAATAAGAACTGCTAAGAGTCATGGTTGTAAACACCCAGCTCTCTCACCCCTCTGATAAAATCTCTCTGAGGCCTGTTTCACAATGCAGCCATGGTTTCCCAGCCTTGCACAGGTATATCCCATGTCTGTGCTATAAATGCCTGGAGTTATCTTCAGTTGTTAATGTTAGGTCTCAAAGAAACCCTGAGACCTCACAGTCAGTGCCTGTGGCTCCTCCCAGCACTTCTCACCCCACCCCCACCCTAAACCTCTCTCTCCCAGGAGCTGGCCTTCCCTTCCCCCAGCTACACTTCCCTGCATAACTCAGCCATTTTGCCTACATGCTGTCTTGGGTCTCTTGGTTGCCATGTCTTTCTTGGTCTCTTGACTTGCTCTTGGCCTTTGGATCCATGACTTCTCTCTTGGTCCACTTGTCTTTACTATTCCTTTTTTGCTCCTCCCCAATCCTCCCACCCCTGTTCATGATCCAGTTCAGTCTGGATTCTTCAAGATAACTCTGCCTGTTCTCTCCCTCATATCTACAATAAAAACATCTCCTCAGCTATACCCAGGAGCAGTCATGCCCTTGTTTCCATTCATCTGGTACAGAAACCACAAGACTGGCATAAATGAGATCCATTCCAAGGGACTCAGCCTCTCAAAACCAAACCGCTGATTTGAGCCTTCTATGTACAGATCATTTGTTCCTGTGACTCTGCCACCCTCCATATTTGCTTCCAAATTCTCGAATCCACCTCTTCAGCTGCTTCTTGCCTCCACCTGCTCTAACCACACCTGCCATCTTCTCACTTGCTCTGTAAGTGTCCTCTCTCTGGCTGTTGGAGCCTCCTACACCGTCTGGAGCATCCACCACATGGACATCTCCTTACTAAGAAGCCTCTTACACCCCCGGGCCAACCAGGGAGCAACACTTCTGTGTCTCTCTCTATTGGAACCTTCCCCTTTCCCAAAAACCTCTCCCAGTCCACCTCTTCAGCAGTTTTCTCCTCTACCTGCTCTAACTCATTTCTCCACTCACAGTGGGTAAGTGCCATCCCAGAGCTGCCTGCTTTGTCTATTTCTACAAAAGCCACACTGGTGTACCAGGAAGCTCCTCTCCACTTACTGGGCCCCTATCACACAGAAAGAGACTTCTCTCCTCTGTGATTTGGAATATATCTCCCTGACAAGTCTCTCAATCCAAGTAGGGACACCCCAGATTGAAATTCTTGTCATGACACTCACTTCCTCTGGGCCCTTTATTCTCAGTTCCTTTCTGGGGCTTCCTTACCTCCCCTGGGAGCTACAGCCTTGCCATCCCTGGGATGGTGGTCCTGGGTTCTATAAGATACAAGCTCTGCAAGCCATAGGAAGCAAGCCAGTAATCAGCATCCATTCATGCCCTCTGTATCAGCCCCTGCCTGCAGGTTCCTGTCCTGACTTCCTTTGATGATGAACAGCAATATGGAAATATAAACCAAATAAACCCTTTCCTTTCCAACTTGCTTTTTGATCGTGGTGTTTTGTCACAGCAATAGAAACCCTAACCAAGACAGCAAGTAACTAAAAATAAGTAAAGTTTGTTTAGATCAGTTATACTTAATAGATAATGGTCTTCAAACTCTTCAGAGATCTGCTGCATTTAAACTGTTTAATTAAAAAGCAAACAAAAGAAGAACAACTTCTCATGATAGAAATGCCAGCTCCTACAAGTGGCTCTAAGGTCTCCAAAGAAGACAGTGGAGCATAGAAGACTCCACCTGGATTGTGATAATACTGACCACTGCCCCATGCGTCACCACTGCCAGGGTCCTGCCCAAACTCTGGACACTTTGGGTTGTCTGCCCACCTCTGCCTTGCCACAGCAGGTCAGTTTTCCCAGGTTCCTCTTCCCCAGGAAAATCTCTGAGACCTTCCAGGTCTGGCAGCTAAAGATGCAATGCAGTCCTGTGTGGCAGCCAAAGACCTATGACCACCGACCCAAACAAAGCTATCAAGACCAAGGGAACCTAACATAACCATCCAGGTCGTAGTAAGTCTTTGCCATTAGAATTGATACATAGGCCATGTGGAGATTATACTTCCTGTTATAAGTTATCCTCTCAGATCTCTAATGATATTGATGGCAAACTGTAACTTTATGTTAACAGTATCAGGCACCAAGCATAAAGGCCCCCCCCCCCAAAAAAAGGCTGCAGCTGCCTGTTCACTTCCATTCAAATGTAAAATCAAGCTACTAGTTTTCCAGTTGGAAGACTTCACTCTGAAAGTGAGAAACTCACAAACCAGATTTCAACATTTTTTTTCTATTCTTTCCAATAAATGTTCTCAATCACCTGTGTTTCATGGTAAATGATTAGATGGAAAAAGAAAAGATATAAATTTTATGTGTGTTGTAAGGATCTAAGAAAATAAATGCAAGCTGTAAAAGTCTGTGGTATGTTTCAGATTTCTTCCCTTTTCTGCACTGTTGATATACTAAGACTTCAAAAGTTCAGAGTTTTAGCAATCATGGGGTTCTGATATAGCCCTGGTAAAGCACTGACCACTACTAGCATAGTCACAAGCTCAAAATTTTTAATTTCCTTTCATTGTCTTTCTAAATATAGAAACAGTGCTTCTTCTCATTGGGCTGAGACCATCTCTGTCCAATCTATATCCAGCCCTCTGAATAGAGGAAAGAGTATTAATGATTTTATCCCAGAGGCATTTCCTAGGTCTCTCAAGCTTTTACTATGAATCGAAGGCACACTACTACTTTATCTAAAATGTGGATTTCAATACAGATTACAAACAGTGGTTAATGCTAATATATCCAAAACTTTTAGCTCTCTTTGGTAAACTTAAAAAATTCATGTAAGCTTTAGGAAGTCGACTTGGTTCTACCTCTCACAGGTCAAAGGGACTTCAGATAAGTACTCCTATCAATCAACAGCCTATTCCCCCCTTGTCTGTTCCTGAAGATGAACTCTCTCTCTCTCTCTCTCTCTCTCTCTCTCCCTCTATTCCTCCCTCCCTCCCCACTTTCCCTCTCTCCCTTCCCACCCCATCCATCCTCATTTTCATTCAGTAACTAGAAGCCAGCTCCAAATGTAGCACAACCTCAGATGAGTGGCTTTCTTTTGTTCCTGACAACATTTCCCAAATTGTGCTCCTAAGAGTATCAGTGTAGGATGGATAGCCCAAGCCCCTCCCAGAACAAGTCTCCTCCCTCCCTCCCCACAGTACTCACAGCATGTAGGTGATAACTCCCACACTCCACATGTCTGTTGGGAATGAGACGAATTCATAGTTAACAACTTCTGGGGCCAGGAACTCTGGAGTACCAAAGTTCACCTTTAGCTTCTCCCGAGGTTTGTATCTGAGAAAAACAGAGAGAGTTCAAAGCACCATGGGAGAAAATAAGTGGATGCAGATGTGGACCCTAGAAAGAAATTTTCCCGCTTGTCAGGTATGCTGCCTGAGCCCCATACTCACACTACACAGCAGTTTCCCAGGGAAACACTGCACTTAGACATGCCTTCCAGCCTTTCTACGTTGGTGGTAGACCAGAAAGCGACAGTCCTTCTGGCCATTTCCAGTCTGAAGATGAGAGGAGACCAATATATCTCACTTGGTGTACAACCACATGAATAAGTACAGATGGGGCAGATGCTTCCAGTGAGTGAGCGCACAGTGTGCTAGAGGGACCATAGTGAGAAAAGGGATGCTGGGAGAGGCGGCCCATAACTGTGATCCCAGCACCCGGGAAGGCAGAAGCAGTCTGATCTATGTAAGTTCCAAGGCCAGCCTGGTCTACAAAGTGAGTCAAGGCCAGCCAAGGCTACCAAAAAACTAAATAAATAAACTGTCTCAAAAAAGAGGGGGGGTGGTCATTTATCAACATTCATGAGGGAAATATAAAGTAAAACTATGATGTGGTTCCTCATGCACATATCAATGTCTGCAGTACGAAAACACACACGCACACTCCTGAGGGAGGGCTGAGGGTATACAAGTGTCAGCTAGAATGTAGACATCCAGATCCTTTATGCAGTGTAAGTAAGGAATGGGAGATGGAGCAGACAGTGCTGAAAACAGACGCGAGCGGGTGTGGTATCTTAAACTGTGACGCAGCAGGACAGAGATGAGTTTGAGACCAGGATAAGTTACGGATAAGTTACACAATGAGTTAAAGCAAGCTTGAGTGACAGACTTTGTCTTAACAAAACAAAATCCAGAGATAAAAAATAAAATAAAATAAAAAATAGAGTTATGTGATCTAGCAGTTTTTGAGCATGTATTCAAAAGACTTAAAGTAGAGGTCCAGGAGACAGTTCTGTCTTGTTTTCACATGTTGTGTCCTGAAATATGACATCCCTCCACTACAAGTAGAGAGACCTCGAAATCAGTTCCACTCCACTGATGCTGGGGCTGGCCATAAGAGTTGCTTTAGTCAATGGAAGGTGAGTGAAAAATTTCACTTGGCCAATACCAAGCTCGGCCATAACTGCTCCTAAGTCTCTGCCACAAGAAAAGAATGAGAGACACAGTGCCTGTCTGGCCTCCCTGAGGGGCTAGAGAGACAGCTCATTGGTTAAGACCCAGGTTCAACTGCCAGAGCCCATTTGGTGGCTCACAACCATATGTAACTCCAGTTCCAGGGGATCCAATGCCTTCTTCTGGCCTCTGTGGGCCCTGTGCACATGTACACAGACATACACAGAGGCAAAACACCCTGAAAAAATAATGAACAATGAATAAATAGTAAAACTAAACTGAGTCAGCTCAATGATCTCAAATAATGGTTTTTGGGTAAACATTTCAAATTAGCTGTCCAGTTTTTGTTATTGTTTTTTAAGACTTGATCTTTAGTAATAGCCAAGTTTGGTGACATAGATACTGATTTTTCCAGGCTAGTGTCAAGGGACCTTAATGAAGTTACTGAGTGGTAAGATTCAGTGGCCTGTCAGATAACATTCAAACTTCTGGGCCTAACATTCAGGATTCCTCTTTAATGTTCTCCTATACTGTGTTCTTCTCAGATTGGCTTGCTCATACTCTCACATCTGTTCTCAGGGGACAACTAATGCCATCTGCCCTGATTCCCCTCTACAGCTCCTGTTCACACTGGTTCTGACCCTCAGAAGATCACAAAATCTGATTGTGTTCATCAGTTTGCAAAAACCAAAAAATATTAAGAATCAACCCTGTATCTCCACTTCCCTCCTCTTCTGAGCTGATAGCTAAACATTCGCCAGCATCGTCGCTGCCTGCACATACAAACCCTGTCCGCGAAAGCCTTCCCTCCCACCACAAGCTTCTAGTGGTTGCTTCTTGCTCTGAATTCAGTGTGTCACTGTAAATGGTCATGTGACAGTTGGTCCTCTGGCATTCAAGAGTATCCTGCAAAGCTTGTATGTACATTCCAATAAGTGCAACATTATACCACAAGGATCCAAAAGGGGAGCCTTGGGGGATAAAGCTTATTTAGCTATTATGGCTTTGCAGAGGGCCAGAGGACAAACAGATACATTGTGCTTCTATGGCCTTGTACTTCAAGGAGTGGGGGACAAAGTGAGTACCGACAAAAGTCTAGAAAGGTCTGCTGGGGGCAAATGGTGAAAATGAGAAATGGGCTGAAAAGCACCACTCTCTTGTATAAGACACACATATGTGCAAAATAACCCCTATTTTAGAAGACCTCCTTTAGGAAACAGTGAAGCAGGTTTTCTACACTATAGGCTGAATGTGATTTTCAAGTGTGTAGTGGGGATTAAACTGTTCACTGAAGGTGGTGGGGTGACAAACTCCGTTACAGCAACAGCATGGGGGGCAATAAAACTCACTCCTACAAACAGGTAACACACCAGCCAGGGATGAAGTGACCCCCAAAGCCTCCCAGTGGAGTTCAGGCTGTGCCTGGAAGCGCGGGGGTGGGGGTGGGGGCAGAAGCCAAAGGCTGACCTGGCTCTGCTTCTGTGTGGGTGATGGGGGAAGGGGAGGATGTTAGCAGCTCAGAGAGCAACAAAGACAGCTCCTTGTGGGAAACAAGACGACAGAGAAATCTTTCCACAGAGCCATACGCACATAATCCTAGTACCCAGGCGACTGAAGAAGTAAGATCACAAGTTTGAGGCCAGCCAAGGGTTACATAATAAGACCTTGTCTCAAAAATAAACAAGTAAAGAGAGCTTTGTGGCGCACATGCTATAATCCCAGCATAAGTGGGTGGAGGCAGGAAGAGCAAGACTTCAAGGTCAGAGCAGCTTTGCTGCAGAACAAGTGTGAGGCCAGACTGAGCTACCTAAAACTGGCTCCCCACACTCCACCCCACCCCCAAAAAACAGCAGGAAGGAAGGGGGTAAGGAGGGAGGAGAGAAAAGAAAAGGGAAATGTTGGAAAAACTTCAAAAAGAGTTGAAATTCAACTATATTATATTCAGAACTACTCAGAAAATGTGGGATTCCCAAAGAAGAGTCAGTTTAAATTGTATACAACAACTATTTAATGTACTGAAACTGGAGAACCTAACAGAGTTTGCTACCCATCTTAATTCCCATTTACCTCTTACAACTACCCCATATGAGCAAGAGTGTCACTGTGCCACTACTGTACTTTAGAATTTCTTTACTGGCTCCAGATCAACTTATCATGGCATGACCCTATCCTATCACATAGGTGTTTCCATATGTAAGTTAGGTATTCTTAGAGTGCAAGGATGGTGGTGGACATCCTGAGTAGTTTAGTCCCTAGCAGAATGGAGAACTGATGGAATTCAGTCTGCTTTTAACCTGCTCATTAGTCCCCTATAACTATTTTCTTCTGCTTAGACAGGTGGTTCAAAGTACAGTTAATTCCACAATCTTCTAGGGCAAATAGAGCCTGTACAACAAACCCACTGCATTAATAGCAAGCTGAAGGCCACCAGTCTTTGTGTAAGAACTTTCTTGTATCCATCCCCAAACCTTAAAAAAATGTTAGATCTCAGACAGGTAATTATACTCAAGAGAGCTAGCAATGCTACTGAAGAAGGAATTTTGTCAGAGTATCACGACCCTTACCTTCTAGCCAGCCCAAAGTCAATGATCTTAATTTGATGTCCTGTCTGGTTGACACACAGAATGTTCTCCGGCTGGAAGAGGAAAGGAGGGGAAAGCATTTTTACCATTATTACCCTGGCTAAGGAAGCCTACAGCTCTCATACTTACTGTCCACAAGCCTCAGTTTCCCAGACTCCAAGGAAAGTAAATGGCTCAGGGTAGTCATAGGGGCTAGACAAATAGTAAAAATACTGAGTTGCACTAATGATACAGTCGTTGGCATAGGGGGCTGGAGAAATGGCTCAGTGGTTAAGAGCATGTGCTGCTCTTGTGGAGAACCTGAGTTCAATTCCCAGCCCCCATGCTGGAAGTTCACAACTATCTGTAACTCCAGCTCTAGTGCATCTGACACCATCTTTTGGTCTCCATGGAAAACTGCAATCAAATGCACATTCTCTTTCTCTCTCACACACACATACACTCACACACAAAAAATTAAAAACATTTAAAAACAAAAGGTATTGGTATGGACCGTGAGAAAGGGGAACTTTTGCCATGGAAAGCAAGACCTTGCTCAGTACCACCTGCTGCTCACCAAGAAGGAAGCGGACACAGAGCTTCTCAGTCTTCAAGAGAAGTCAAAGATCCAGGCAGTATGAAGACTCCATGTTTTAAAATGTTGACAATGACATGATCGTCATTGACACGAATTGTCATATCAATGACATGAATGTCAACAAACAGGCATCATGTGAGCATGCCTCTGTGATGGAGACTCAGCCCATGAATTGCCTATGTAAGACAAATGCTCTGGGATAGTGCTTCTCATCACTGGCTTCACTTTAGAATAAAAAGAGCTATGTTTATTTTATTTATTTATGGTTTTGGAGACAAGGTCCTCATGTATCCCATACTGGCCTTAAGTTTGCTGTACAGTCAAGAATGGTCTTTAGCTTTTTTTTTTTTTCTGAAACAGGGTTTCTCTGTGTTGCCTTGGCCATCCTGGAACTGCCTTGGCCATCCTGGAACTCACTCTGTAGACCAGGATGACCTCAAACTCAGAGCAATCTGCCTGCCTCTGCTTCCCAGAGTGCTGGGATTCTGGGATTACATGCACGTGCCACTGTTCTGGCTGGTCATTAACTTCTGATCCTTCTGCCTCTAGCTCTGAATGCTGGAATTACACACGTATGCCATCCCACCCAGTTTCATGGGCTACCCATGCTCAAACCTAGGGCTTTGTGCATGCTAGCCAAGCACTCTACCACTGAGCCTCATTCCCAGAACATCATCAGGGAAGTTAAAAAATCAAAACAAAACCCAGTGCTCAGGTCCCCGGAATTTCAGGAATGAGACTAAAGCAACATTGGTCTTGTTACAGAGAATAGGGCTAGTGAGATGTGGTTCATAAGCCTCCATCCCAGCATTCAGAAGGCTAAAACAGGGAGTGTTGCAAATTTGAGGCCAGCCTGAACTACGTAGTGAAACCCTCATCTCAGAAAAAGGGAGAAGGGAGCCAGGCATGGTGGCCCACACCTTTAATCCTGGCACTTGGAGGCAGAGGTAGGTGGATCTCTGAGTTCGACTGCCAGCTTGTTCTACAAAGTCCAGGACAGCCAGGGCTGTGATACAGAGAAACCTTGTCTCTAAAAGTAGAAAAAGAAAGAAAGAGAGAGAGAGGAAGAGAGGAAGGAAGGAAGGAAGAAAGAGGAAGGAAAGAAGGAAGGAAGGAAAGAAAGAAGGAAGGAAGGAGGGAAGGAAGGAGGGAGGAAGAAGCAGTTGGGGACGTAGATCAGGGGTCAAGCACTTGCCTGGAGTGCAAAGGTACAACTCTCAGCAGACACCTGCAATTTTGCAGTGATGACTACGACCAGGCATGGGATTGGAATGGTGGCCTTGACACGGGATGCTGGGAAGATACTTGCCAGGGCCCGGCACAGCACTGACCTTGAGGTCCAGGTGCAGGATGTAATGCTGGTGCAGGTAGTGCACGCCCTCACAGATCTGCCTCGTGAACAAGACCACATCCAGTTCAGTCAGGTGGCACTTCTCGTCTGTGATCCGGTCAAAGAGCTCACCTCCATCCACACTGCCAGAGAAAAGCGGGAGGTGGGGGTCAGACTGGGGAGCCCTCGGAGAGGCTGAGAGTCCAGGTATGCCTAAGGATACCCAAGGCTGGTGCAAAGGGCTCCCGAATGCTGTATGGCGTGTTAGCATATTCCCAGCAGAAGATTTTCCTAGAACCTGGAAATCTGTGAAGGGACTGTGGCCAGCATGGCTCAGGCAGGCTTTGCCCTGTACCTCATTCTCTCTGTCTTGCTAAAAACCATTAGATTACATTCCTAAAGCTAGCCACCAAAGTCTATTCCCTTATGTGGCCACGTCTTCCTCCTCCTGAGGCTAACTACCAAGGTCCAGCTATTGAAGTCCAGCAAACAAAAGCCTCCTCTAATTTACATGGCCAATCAAAATACACCACCGCATCACCGCATTCTGGCCCATTCTAACAGACCTCCCCTTTTTCTCTTATTAAAAGTTACATCATTTGCTGCTGATTTTCTGCCTGAGTCAGAAAGCAGCCACTTTAACTTTTCTTTCCTGCTTGATAGCATCTCTCTATTTGGGTGTGGTTTGTGCCTAACTCAAGGTCTGAAAAGAAACCCCACTATTCAAGGTCTCCTAACATTGATGTCATGACTCAAATGGACCAGTAACCAACCCCTTTTTAAACATTCCAGTCCTCCTGATGCCCCATTCCCTCATCCAACAGTAGCTGATTGGTAGCTTCCCCAACCCTAGCTGTCCTAAATAGTCCCCAGGTTATCGGGTGAAAGCCATCGAGTGTCTGGTGTCTCACTCTGTCCTGTGGGAGTGGGGAGGCTGCACCCACCATGACCATCACTGGTTACGGTGGACTCCCACAGACCGGCTGCTAGCTAGGCACATTTCATCCAGTCTGGTTTCCCTCTTGGTGATTGCACTGCTGGAATCCTGTGTTCTATGCCCCTTCCCACTCCGAAAATCCTGTCAACAGTTCTAAGATGCCTATTCTGACCCACTGGAGTTTCTCTCTTGGTGATGGAGCCTGGATGATGACCCACTCCCTCCCAGAGATCACCCCTCAGTCTCTGAAGATACACAGGGATGCTTGGTGTCTCCACTCAGGCCCCCCTACCACCAAGGAGGCGCCCTCCATTCCAACTGACTCGCCTTCAGTATGTCTCCTCCAGAATCTCAAATGGCTGACACTCTCAGACATCAAGTCTCCTAAATTAGTTCACTATAGTGCCCAGGCATGGCCTCTATATCCACTGGATAATCCAGCTAAGCGGCCACTTAACAGCTCTCTGGATCCAAATATTATTCCGGATCTTCACAATGTTTGTGAGCACACAGGAAGATCCTTTAAGTTTCTGCTTTCGCTTCTATCTGCTTCAAGCTTTCTGCATGACCCCTATGCTCTCTGACCTTTCCCAAACTCCACTGTAACCCTTTGCTCCCATTTAGCCCTCTGCACCCTGCAGAAATACTGACTACCAGGCACTCTGTCCACCAGCTGCTGCGCTGCCCATGCAGCATGCCCTCCCCTGTGGTACAGCCCAAGGTGAGGCAAACCCACAGCTTCACAGGCCATCCTGTGCCCCAGCTGCTCCATCCACTGCCAAATCCCTACTGCCTACAGGTGCCAAAGACACCCCCCTTCCTTCCAGCCCGCCTGAGCTCTGGCAAGGCTCCAGCAGCCTCCCTCCTTCTCCCTGGTAAACCCCCTTCTCCTCAACCATCCAGCCAGGCCACATTCAATCTCACATCAGCACCACCCACTCTGCATCTGTCCAGATATGAGGTGTCAGTTCTTAAGTACAGAGCCTATCCGCCTCCCCAACACTGGCTGGTCACACCCATCCTCCAGGAACTGCACTTCCCTTAGACCCAAGTCTGGGCTACAGCAACCCCCTTTGGGGCCTTTAGGGCCTTTGAGATGTCCCTACTATCCCTCGGGTTCCTCAGATTCCTCCTGGAAGTTCTGTAATGTCCTTAGGCCCCTGCAGGGCTACTGCAACACCCCAACCCCACCCTCCCCCCTGGGTCCCAAAGCTTGTTCAAGGGGCACCACTGCAATAGTCCCTCCTCCTCCTCACTTGCAGTGGTTCCAAAAAGCCCCCCCCCCCCCCCCCCCCCCCCCTCCACCTCCTCTCCCCCCCCTCCCAAAGCCAAATTCTCCACTGTGGATAACCAAATGAGCTACAGTACAATTTACAACCTTGTAATAACACCTCCCTCAGCCCAGGCCCTTGCTGGTTTCCCAACTTATTAACCCCTTCCTGTCCTTACACTGCCTTCAGCTTAAACCTAATCATATGATATTAACTGATTATAAACTATTAAAGATTATTAAAACATGCAAGTTAATTATCATTACCTCATAATCATATTACTTAATTTGTTCATAACTATATTTATAGTCATAATTAATTACCAAAATAAATTTTATTTGGCTTCCTGTGTCTTTTTTCAAAATTAAGCCTTTGAAACAAGTAACTAACAGAGTCTGTCTACTTTATATATACTAGATAAAACAGTGGTCCTCAAACTCCTCAGAGAACTGCTAAAGCCAGCATTTCAAATGTTCAATAAAAACCTCCCACAATAAACAAAGATTCATCTCGGTGTGGCGGCACAGGCCTTTAATCCCAGCACTCAGGGAGGCAGAGGCAGGTGGATCTCTGTGAGTTTGGATCTCTGTGAGTTTGAGACCAGCCTGGTCTACAAGGTGAGTACACAAAAGCCAAGGCAAGACAGAGAAACCCTGTCTCAAAAAAAAAAAAAAAAAAAAAAAAAAAAAAAAAAAAAAAAAAGAAAAAAAAAAAAAAAAAAAAAAAAAAAAAAAAAAAAAAAAAAAAAAAAGATGAAGAAGAAGGAGGAGGAAAAGGAGGAAGAAGGGAAGAAGGGGGAACACTGCACTGGACCCCACTTGGACTGTTATAACGCTGATCACTGGAAAAAGCTGCCCATGCCTCATCATCTGCCAAGAGCATACACAAACTATGGAAACTTTTGGATTGACTGCTATACCCTGACTCATCAAAATAAGGTCAATTTCCCCAAGTTCTTCCTCTACAGAAAAAAATTCCCAAACTTGAGTCTGACCAGCCAAAAGCCCACTGCCCTGTGGGACAACTGAAAATTAAAAGTTGCTCTTGTCTGACACCTAAAGAGCACTGCTTCCACAATGAACCACGTAAGCCTCAAACGATTGTCTAAGTCTCTGTCATCCAATTGATTAAAAAAAAAAAAAACAAAAAACATTTAAGTTAAAATACATTTAATTTCCTCTCAGGTTTATCCTTCTCAGATATCTGAAGATATTGATGGCTAACTGTAGCTTTAGCAACAGCAAACACACAGCTGCCTGGTCAGCCCATTTCATATGTCCAGTTTAGCCTTGCTGACAGGCTTCACACTAACCAAGATTTGAGTTGCTAAAACTTATGACGAACAGACAATTGAGTTATATAGGTCAAAGAAAATGAATGACACAAGTTTATACAGGCTTAAGAAAATAATTCATACATCTGAAATTACGATTCAGAAGTTTAAATATGTCATGTATGGGTCCAAGTAAGTGAAAGGTAGATAGAGGTTGTTTCGATTCATTCCCTTGTCTCTGTGGAGTCCCTCTCCCTCACACATCCTCAGAGTGCACAGCCAGTCCTCCAGACCCCTACAGATTCCTCTCTTGACTTGCTCTTTTCAAGGCCTTTTCTCCACATTCCCTGGCGCCTGATCCCCTCACCAGGACAGGACATCCTCGCCAGAACTAACATAAATCTGGCCTTTTACCCTGACAACAGCTCCCAGGATACTCCTACCCTCTCCTTTTCCCTGGCCTCCATTTGCATACTCACACTCTCCAGACTCCCCAAACCTCTGTCTGCCCACTTTTCTACCAGCCCCATTGTATGGATGCCACCTCTCCTTCCCTCCCTACACACCATCCACCCCTCTTTATGCCTACATTACAACCCCCAATACTCGCTACCCTCTTCCAGCCTCGGCTTAGGCCTTAAATCCACAATTTCTATGCCACAACTCTTCAACCTACAATACTCCCAAAATAAGTTAAAACAAAAACAAAACAAAACAAAACAAAACAAAAAAAAAACAACAAATGAAACCTTCCACCTAGTCCAGAACCTTTGCTCCATTAACTGTCTCTTTATGTCCTAAGTCTCTAACCCTTAAACTAGCCTCTCCATTTTCATACACAATACCACTCACTTTTTGGTCATATATACATATATTGGTTTTTGATACAGGGTTTCTCTATGTAGCCTTGGTTGTCCTGGGCTTGCTTTGTAGACCAGGCTGGCCTCGAACTCACAGAAGTCAGCCTGCCTCTGCCTCCTTGAGTGCTGGGATTAACGGCAAGTACCACCATGCCTGTCTTCAGTCCTAAATCTTAAGGACACTTTCTTTTCAATACTTTTGGATGTTGGAGAGATGGCTCAGTAGCTAGGAGCACCGGATGTTCACGCTATGTGTTTTGCCTTCACATAGATGGTCCCTGATACTCAACAATCCTGACAAGTGACTAAACTGTCCTTCCCCAGAGACTAAGAGACAGTCCCCACCGTTTCAGCCAGACTCTCACTACAGAATTGGCCGGCCTTTTCCCCCCTTCCTCCTGCCTATTTCAGTATACAGATAACTTCCTCCCTTACAGTTCTTCCCTCTCTGATAGCCAATCGGATACCACCACACTCCTCAGTTTCCTCAGTACCCAAAGTTACCAGCTCTCACCTTCCAAAGCTCAGCTCTACTTTCCCAAAATCACCTATCTTAAATCCTCTCTCACACCAACTTATAGACACCTCACTTTGCCCATATCCACTCCTTATCTCTGCTATGAGAAGAGATTTCTTCTTCTCATAGATCCCTAAATACTCATTCGGATACATTCCCTATACTAAGCAGCTTCTGGACCTCCTCACAACCTCCTTCCTCCTAGCCACAAACAATTCCTTAAAACATTTTCCTTTCCGTCCCAGACCCACTACACTCCTATCCAAAGACTCTCAAAGACCTCCTACCCCATCCCTCTTATACACAGGAAGGTCCCCACACTTTTTACACAGTTCCTTCCTGTTAGATGGCCACATCAGACTGGCCCCTCTATTATCAATATTCATCCTCACCCTCCAGCTCCTGTTTCCTCAAGATCACCTGTTCCTCACAAATCTCATCTCTGTTCTCACACTTTTACTTTTTTCTGCCCAAACAATTGCCACACAGCCACTGCCAACTGACTCCCTTAAATTCATTAACTGTCTAGATGTCCTCAGACATCAGACACTTGTTCTAAGTCCTGCACTCCAAAATATAAGACATAACTAAACCCAAACTGTCTCCTCTCCAACACACACACACTTTTCACGGCCAAGCCCTCACTTGAGTCAAGGTCATCCAACAAACTCTCCTAAACTCCACTGATCCCTCCTTCAATGCCTCCCACTTTCTTTGCACCTCTCTTCAAAGCCCTCTGTTAGTCACAATCCCTTTCACTACTGATACCCTAGTTATCAATGTCCTCTCCCCACTGCTGACTGCTTATGCCCTTAACCATCCAAGTCCCCCTTTGGAAACCTTTTCACAGCAACCCCAAAAACCTGTTACCAACCATCTCTCTTACCATTTGCAAAGAGCCTCCCCAATTGTTCATGTTCCTAAAATATTTCTATTTAAAAACCTGAATACCACTCCCAAAACTATTATGATATAATAAAAGCCTCCCAATTTATATTTCCCACTATATAACTATGCCCTACTTTCAAATAACAGTTGTTCTTCAATTAACCCTGTACAACCAATCTAAATTTCTTGTCACTTCTCAAGAACTCTCAGAGAGACTCCAGAAAGTACTCCTGTCAACCAACAGCTCTGATTACATCCAAAGACCTTCCAGCGGAATGCAGATATGGCCTAAGTATACACCTTTAATTCCTAACAATGAAGGTAAAATTAGTTTGTAGAAGGAAGCACCCATGTTTGAAAGTAATGTCTAATTAAGGGGCAGAAAAAGTGACAAATCAGAGAAAGATTTGACAGAATAGGATACACCCAATTCTCATGAAGAGAGAAAAGAAAGAGAAGCACTTGAGAGAGCAGTGCAGAGAAAGAAAGGAGAAGGCAGTTTTATCAGTTCAGTTTTACAGAGACAGGTTGAAGAAAGAACAAGCTAGACAGGTGAGTGAAGAAAGAATGAACCAGAGAACGAGGAGGAGCCAGAAGATTAGATCATATTGTTGGAGCTAGTTTGAGGCCAAGCAGAATAATTCAGTCAGAGGCTGAGAGAAGCCAGTTTAAATCAGTCAGCTTGGAGAGATGTTTGAGCCAGAACAGTTGAGTTGAATCAGCCAGCCAGAGTTCAAAAAGAGCTAGAAAGGGTGTGCTCATTCAGCAGTAATCCTCAGAGGCTGAAAACATTCTAAGCATAGATTAGATTGTACGGAGGCTAGAAGCTTCCAGGACTAGTCGTAGGCTTGCAGACAAAGGCAGAAGCCTCCAAGATGGCAGTTGCATCAAGTGAATAAAAGATATTTTCATACATCCCTACACACAGAGAGGTGCAGTACGCCTCTTCATCTATACATACTGAGCTGCAGTGAACCTTTACAGATATAGGTATGGGTCCAATGTAACTAGATTCTTTATATTTTCACGAAAGCTGGACATAAAGATTTTACAATTTCTGTCTATATTTTCTAATTACCAACTGTTAATCCCTCACACAAAATTGCTAAAAATTATCTAGAGACAAAGTAGCATAATGTCTGTAGGTCAGATAAAAAAATGCTAGACACTGGCTTGTAAAAAAAAAAGATTTTGTCCTTCAAGTTCCACACTCAGGTTCTAAACCAGTGAGGGCAACATGGCTCATGCCTGTGAGGAGCAAAGATAAGGAGCTTGGCTTAGACTGAAGACCCTCAGTCCCAGGCTTGAGCCCACCCTGAAGCCAATACCACATTTCTGAGATACTCACTACTCCATGATCAGGGTGAAGCTGTTTTTGCTCTCAAAAGCATCATAAAGTTGGATCAGGTTTACATGGCTGAGCTGGTTCATGATATTGATCTCATTCTTCACATCCTCCTTGTGGGACCACAGGAAAAGAGGTTTTCCAAAAAAAAACAAATCAGGAAGAGAAGCCAGTTGCATCCCTCAAGATGTGCATGTATATACACACACATATACACACACACTCATATTCACACACATTCACACAATACTCACACATATATACACTCATACACACACACACACACACACACACACACACTCTTGACGCTTCTTTCAACTTCTGCTGTCACACCAGGTTTCCTTGACTCATCACCCAAATGTGTCCTTATAACAGAAAGGACCTTGGTCCAACCCACCCACTCATCTCACAGACAGGAGGCCTGGGAAGGAAAAGTCCTGTTGCCCAAGGTCCAGCACACATGACATGCCAGGCTGTCCACACAGACAAGGTCTGGGCTAAGGAACATGGGTGGCTTAGTGAGTGGTGTATGAAAATCAAGGTGAAGGGAGAGGGAAGACATCAAGTTTCTGAGAGGTATGGAGGGGGCTGGGTATGAGGGGCTGGGAGCTCAGAAGGAAATGAAAGTGTCTTGGTCTTGGCTAGAAGGATCTGTGTAGCCTGGGGCAGATGTCTCACCCGGTCCTTTACGCTCTTCACTTTGATGATCTTGGCTGCCAGGGCAAGGCCAGTAGACCTCTCTGTACACCTGTGCACCTGGCCAAACCGGCCCCTGCAGAGAATCAGGGACACAGTAAGCTGACATTAGGAAAAGTTCACCAAGCCCCTGAGGTCTGCCATTCCTCCTCGATACACACACCATGTGGACTGTCCTACACCAACCAGTGCCTCGTATCTTAGTCATAAACCCGGGCTAACCTGAAGTCTGAAAATCACCTCTTCACTCCTCACATCATGGGATCTACTCTACAGCCTAACAGAAAGAGCATTCTCACCTTACTATGGGCTATTCTGGATGAGAGTATCCCCCTTACCCACTCCACATCATACCAGCCTATTTGCACACCTATGCCTGGCACTTCTGCTACCCCACATCCTACTTTGATGGCTTTCTTCTTCACGTGTGCAGCCATATGCATCCAGGGGATACCTCTGTCCATTCATATGTGGGTCAGCCTCAGTGCTCCAGTTTCTGACCCCCACCCGGGCAGAGGCTCCACTCACCCTCCCAAGACTTCATGTTGGGACACTGTGTAGCCTGCTGAAATCAGGGTATCCTTGACACTGACTATCCGATGTTCAAACGGGGCTGGGGGTGCTGCACTGTCATCTGTAGAGAGACAACGAAGAAGGCATGAGTCTCCTTCAAGTAGCTTCCCATCCTAAACACACTAAACCTCAACTGGGTTACCAGGCCCACTGCCCATCTTACAGCCCTAGTATGGCAAAACCCTGCCTTTAGAATCATCACAATGGAGACACATTCATCAGGAAAGGAAACTGAGCTCACTGAATCAGTGAGCAGAATTCCATGAGGAGGCTGTATAGCCATAGCTTATTGTGTAATTCAAATGCTGATTTCTGTACCCCCATATCTGTTTGCAATATTTGTTCTGAGAATCTCCTGTTTCAGTGTTGTATAAACACTGCTCTTCAATTGTTCCCTGATATGCTAATAAAGCTGAGCAGGGGAGAGAATAGGGATGGCCTTCCTGCCAGCCAGGAGAGGAAGAGGAAGAAGAGGAAGAGGGGGTTGAGCCACTGGCAGAGGTTCAGAAAAGAGCAGGAGAAGGGCTGGAGCAAAAAAGCTAAAAAATGAGAGTATTTCTGGGATGTACACTGCGAGGAAACCAAATTAACTTAGAGGGTTAAAAATAGATTAATAACTGCTCAGTTCTTGTTCTGTGAAGCTTGTTAAAATAATATAATACAGTTCCAATTATTTGTATGATAGCAAGGTTAAGAGAGACACTGAGAAACAAACCAAGTTTTATAAAAATAACTTTAACAAGGGGCTATGGGGAATGGTCAGGGGCATGTGAGAGGGAGGCAGTTAGAAAAATAAACACACTATTCTCACCCCTCAGCTTTGGCTCCCTGATAGTTAATCTCAGCTAGATCCCAGAGGGAAAAAGAGCCTGTGGTGGAGCCCATGGCGGGCATTTCTTAGGGCATGGGATGGTGAAGATGGTTAGCGGATCTAGAGGGAAAGCAAGGGCAGCTAGCACTTGGAAAGACAGTGGGGAAAGGCATTTAAGAATGTTTTTTTTTTCTTTTTAATTGTATTACTGTGTGTGTATGTGTATACATGTAGATTCCATGGCACACATGTACATGTGGAGATCAGAGGATAATTTTCAGGAGTTGGCTCAGCTTCTACCATATGGTTTCCAGGAACCAAACTCAGGCCATCGGGCTTGGCAGCAAATGCCTTTACCTGCTGAACTGGCCCTTGGTTTTCAATTTAACTAGGTAATCTGAGTACCTAGAAATGTGACCGGAAATCGTAAAGGAAGGAGACATGCAGCAATTACAACGCTACAAAGCAGTTTCTGTACAAATGGCTGGAAGCTGCCAAGGCTGGGTTAGCATTTGTTCGAACTCATCCTGGCAGCATCCTGCTTGCTCCCTGACTACAGACAGCACCCCACAGACAAGAGACCCTAGTACTTTTGTAGTGGAGGGTCTTTGTGGTAGAAGAGACAACCAATACCCCTCTGGAATAACAAGTATGTCCAAATCTGTCCACTTCCACCCTATTGCAAATGGCAGTGGGAATGGCTGACAGTGGCTTACACGTATCACTCAATGTCTTGTCTTTACTTCTCTTCTCCTCTACCCCTTTGGGGGGGGGGCATCATATGTAATCTAAAATGACCTTAACCTCCTTACGTAGCCATGATGACCTTGAACTTATCTCCCCACCTCCATCTCCCAAGTGCTTGGGTTAGAGACATGCAACACCGAGTTTGGTTTTATGCAGTGTAGGGGTCAGACCCAGGGCTTCAGCTTTATGTATACTGGGCAAACAGTCTACCAACTGAGCTACATCCTTAACGCTTATGCTTTTTGCATTCTTGACTGCCTTACTTTAAAATGCTGCTAACGGTGGGTCCCTCAGGCAGGGAAGTTGCTTTGAGACATCTACCCAGTGGGACAACAGAGGTTCCCACCTCCCAACCATCAACGCTGATTCAAGACCCAACTTTAGTCCTTCTTCAGAACCGCATAATCTATGGAAGGTAGATTCACTCAAGGCGGGTTGAGCTGGGCCACAGCCTCACTTACCTAGAACCGTGATGGCGGCCTCTGCAGCAGCAGACACCCTCCTTCTGGCCTCAGTGCTCTCTGAGTCCTTGGCTGCATGGTCCCTCCCAGGCTCAGGGTTTCCTCTTCCTGGGTCCATGTCTGTAGTCCCCACAGTCTCATCTCCCCAGTCCTTTGTGGCTAAGCTTGGCCTTGTGATAGGCTCAGCCTCGGGCCCTGTCTCCTCCGCACTCACTCCCTCATTGTTGCTGCTCCTCTTTGGCAGGGGTAGAAATGGCTGAGTTCCTTTAGGGATCTGGTCTTCCAATTCAGTTCCAGGGCCTTTGGGACGTGGGTCCTGCTCATCATGGTGAACAAGTGCCGGAGCTTCTGCAGAGGCAGTGGGACTGCCCCTCTGTGTCTCAAAAAGCTCCCCAGGAGTAGCCATCCCTTGCACATGGAGAGAGACCCTGGGCAGAGAGAAATATGGCCCTGAGTTCAAAACAAGGAAATTCAGGGGATGAAGCTCAGCAACCATGCATTGCTTAGTGTCATCGCTGGCTTTAGCTGTCAACGTGCCACAAACTTAAAGTTGCCTGGAAATAGAAAACCCCAGTTGAAGAATTGGTGAGACCAGACTGCCTATGGACATGTCTATGGAACATTTTCTTAATTGCTAATTGATGTAAAGGGCCTAGCCTGCTAATGGCAGCACTTTCCCTAGACAGATAGGCCTGAGCTATATAAGAAAGGTAGTTGAGATGCAAAGACCAACAGCCAAACATAGGCAGAGTTCAGGGAATCCTGTGGAAGAAAGGGAGGAAGGAAGGCTTATAGGAGCTGGAGGGGTCAAGGATACCACAAGAATATGACCCAAAGAATCAACCAACCAGAGCTCATAGGGGCTCACAGAGACTGAACCAACCATCAAGGAGCCTGCACGGGTCTCACCTAGGTCCTTTGCATGTATGTCTGGTTGTGTAGCTTGGTGTTCTTGTGGGATGCCTAACAGTGGGAACAGGAGCTGTTTCTGACTCTTTTGTCTGCTTTGGGATCCTTTCCCTCCTACTGGGTTGCTTCATCCAGCCTCGATGTGAGGGTACATGCCTAGTCTTATTGTAACTTGTTATGCCATGTTTGCCTGCTATCCCTGGGAGGTCATCACTTTTCTGAAGGGAAACAGAGGAGGAGTGGATCTTGGGGAAAGGGGAGGTGGGGAGCGGCTATCAAGAGAGGAGGGAGAGGAAACTGAAGCTGAGATGTGCTATATGAAAGTATCAATAAATTAATAAACAAGAAAAGGAAGGCAGCTGAGCAAGCCAGTAAGCTGTGCTCCACCGTGGTCTCTGCTTTTGTTCCTGCCTTGAGTTCTTGCCTTGGCTTCCCTTGATGATGGGCTGTAATCTCTAAGCTGAGCAAACCCTTTCTTCCTAAGTTGCTTTTGGTCATGGTATTTAATCACAGCAACAGAAAGCAAACTAAGGCACTTAGCATGTACAAGGTCCTGGGTTCACTCATCACCTTGCCAGGACTGTGTGCTCTATGTAACATCTCTGGATCACGGTAGTCCAGTTTTCCTAATTTTTGTTGCATTTTAAGCGAACTGATGAAAGTACTTGTTAAGATTTTCAAAGTGCTAATAAAAAAATAAAACAAATACTTAGAGATTTACCCATACAAATAATAAAATTGCTTCAGTAACATTCGTAATATAGTATTTATGATAACAGGAGCACTAAATTATATTTTTCTAAACATTATTGTTATGACAATAGGCCTGATTTTCTTATTTTTATTTAATTGAAATATAGTTATATATTTCCTCTTCACTAATAATTTTTAGTGTGCTATGAAAGATAAAAAAATTGAGTTTGTAGTGTATGTACTATAAAACCATGAATCAGAAGTTAAGTAAAGATTAACAGCATTTCGGTTCAGCACCAATCCTCTTGTGAAAAATTAGCTTCCATGTTTGAAGCTCAAGTGTCCCCGAAAATGTTGGGATTGGAGAAATAGCTGCCAGTCATAAAGACTGGCATTCAAATCCTGACACCCATGTAACAATTTGGGCAACTCATTAATCTGCTAACGCCAGCTGTGACAGAGCAGGAACAAGGGCTCACTGGGCCTTTCAGTACAGCAAAAATAAAGCAAACAACAATAACAACCACAACAAAATACCCATGAGCCCCAGATTCAGGGATACAAAAGAATAGACAGAGAGCAAGAGAGGAAACCACTTTCTCTGACGCCATGCACACGGGCACATATACCTGCTAACAGAAGTGAACATACATCCAGAAGTGAGCATATACACACATAAGTAAATAGATAGATAAATAAATAAATAAACCTTCTTAAAAAGAAACACAAATATGGCTCATCTAGTTTTTTAAGAGAAATAAAAATGATAGTTAAGACAGGCCAGGGGTGAAGCGTTAGTGATAAAGGAAGATTATGTACACACACTACACACATCCATACACACACACACACACACACACACACACACACACACGAATACTCCACACATACATACAACATACACACAGGTGGTAAATTCCATGTTATATGTTCTTTATCACAATGAAAAGGAAAAAGAAAAAACAGAAGGCCTTGTCCAGCAGCTGAAAGCCCAAGCCCCTCCCTGAGGTTGAGGCCTGTGAGAACAGAAGGTGACCCCAAGTGATGCAGCTCGAGACACGGCAGCCTATGTAAATTAAGCACTGGGCAAGAGGCCTTGGGACCACCATGTGTCAGTGGTGATGGTCGGTGGTACTCAAGCTAAGAGTCCCTGAGCCTATCTCAGACCAAGAGATCCAAAGGAGTCTCAAGGTGGTCAGTGGAAGAGGCCGCTGGCCACTGCAGCCCTCTCTGGTCTTCTCTTCCATGGACTAGGAAGTGATCCCAGTGTCATGAAATCTACACGTCACATGCTTGAGGGTCTCCTATTATTTGTACAACTTGAGGACACGGGACTGATGGAAAATTTCTTATGACTCATTTACCCTTCCTCCCAGGAGTGCTGCTTCTAAGCTTTCCTGGGAACATCCTGACCATACTACCCCTCTTGCCTTTAGGGAGATATCCTTACCTGGCCCTACTTGAAGATCCTCCTTATGCCCTGGAGGTTGTGACTCAAGTAATTATGCCAGAGACCTTCTTATGAGGCTCTGACTCAAAGATACTCTTGACACATCTGCCCCTGCACTTACTCAGGAACAAAATAATCAAGACAATGTAAACTTGAAAAGGTAAGCAATATTCGGTAGGCTAGAGAAGTTGGCAGCAGATCAAATTAAAAGCCTCTTCCTGATACTGATAGACAGAGAATGGTGTGGATAAATAATAAAAGAATAAAATATTAAGAGCACTCTTTCTTAGAAAATGTAAACTCATACAAGGCCACTGTGGTGTTGTATGACCAAGGAAGAAAAGAATAACAAGATTAAACATATAAATAAATTCTACAAATATGTAAAATATAAATGCTGTATTGTGGCAGAAATTAAATAATAACTGTAGAGCTTTGGCCTGAAGACTTTTCTTGAGCCTAATGCAATTAGCACTCTGACTATTAAAAGCTGATAACACACTAGCTTGGGTGTTTTTCGTTTTTGTTTTCTTTTCTTTTTCTGTCTAGTACCATGGAAACTGCAAGAGCTAAGAACAGGCTGTCAGCTTTGGCAAAATATGCCCTTGAAGCTGCAATATTGCTAAACATTGAGTTGTGGGATTGATGAAGGAAATGGATAGTAAAAGATAATTCTGTTCTGTCATGGTTTATCAATAATGACTAAACTTATGACCAAGTTAAAGTTAAAACCCATGTACGGGGACAAAAATGATATGATCTGTGTTTTGGAACAACATGCATCTATCCCTGCCTGCTAAATTCTGTATAGACAAAGAAGCACCCAGACTGCCAGTCAGTCAGGATGTGAAACTCCTCCCAATCCCCGGGCCTGACTCATTCCTCCCTCACCGCTCTCATCTCCACCCTTCTTCAGACCCTGGACCCTGGCAAACCACCTTCACGATCAAATGCATGCAGAGGGCTAGGCCAGCGCTTCGCGTGTAGTAACATGCTCTGTCAACCCCATTTGTTGAAGTAATTATTTATCTAAAACAAATTTGTTCTGTTTTCCATTAGAGTGGAAAACAAAGGTACCTCAGTGGTGCCTGAGGACCAAATGTACCCATGGTACTCCAGACTAAAGGGATCAGAAACTCTGGGCCTGGATACTTCCTTTTTAATCCCCACTCTCCATCCCCCAGGCAATTCTCATGCTGCCAGGTGGACACTAGTGCCCCAGGGTCCCAAACACAAGATCTTATCCCAATGACTCTAGTGCAGCTCCATGTACACAGTGGTCACCCATCATGTACCCCTGGCCCTTCAGCCACGCTGCATCGAAAGGGATGCAGCTAACTGCCCCCATTGCCCAGCACAGAAGAACATCCCTTACCTGCGATGTGCTTCACCCCTGTGAACGGCACTGGCTGGAGTCAGTGGCTCTACGGGTTGAGGGCTAGGCCCTAAACTCAGCCACAGGGCCTCTTCTGAGGGGCAACAGTCAGGCTTGCTGGACGAGGTTCCTTGACCCACACTTTGTGACATCTTGAGGCTGGTGAGGACCTCGCTGATTCTGTCGATCGCTACAGACAGTTCCAGGGTAGTGCCAGTGTTCTCACTGGATGTTTCTGGAGCCCTGGATTCTGCTTCTGTGGGTGGGGGTACTTGGCCTGGGCCAAGAACTTCAACTCTCTGCCTCAGTGAGGCTCCTGCCTGAGTGAAGTCAGCTCCCTTTGAGGAAGTATTGATGAGGAGAGGCAGCCTCTCTCCTGTCCCCACTGGTATGTCTTCCTTCTGGCTCTCTACAATATAATAGGCAGGTGAAAACATACTCTTTAATAAACACATATTACAAAGAAAAGAAGAACATATATAAGTCATTTCATGTACTGCATCTATAAAAGCCAAAAACTAAACATAACTCATGCTGCCATCGGGAACATGTCTGGATGAAGGAACATCCACCCCATGGAGTATTGTACATCCATTTTTAAGATGAGAAAATAGGGGCTTGAGAGGTGGATGGCTCAGCACTTACAAGCACAGGCTATTCTTCCAGAGAATCAAAGTTTGAGCCCCAGCACCTACATGATAGCTCACGATTGTCTATAACCCCAGTTCCAAAAACTCCAATGCCCTCTCTGGCCTCCACAGACACCAGGTACACCAACACATAAAGACAAATCACCAGTACATGCTGAGAAAAGAAGGGAGGATGTGCTTGAGTGTGTACATATATGTAAACATACAACCACTTATAATGTGGTTTACATAGACTGGACCACACTGGAGAAGGACTTTTTAAATGATCACAAATAAAGACCTTAAGGAGGAAGAACAGAAGCCAGACTTGACTTAGCATACCTTGTTTTGTCAATTTAATTCTAGAGCCCCCCCCCCCAAAAAAAAGACTTTATTTTCTTGAGACAGGGTCTCACTGTGTAGCCCTGAGTAGCCTGAAACTCGGAGAGATTGGCCTACTTTTGCCTTCTGTGTGCAGGATTAAAGGTGTGCACCACCATGCCAGCCACGTAAAGTTTTACAAGAGAATTAACTTTAATAAAAGCAATCCAGCCAGACTCTTGTGATGTTTTTGTTGTTGTTGTTTTGTTTCTAGTTTTGGTTTTGGTGTGTTTTGGGAAACAGGATTTCTCTCTGTGTAGCCTTGGCTGTCCTGAACTCACTCTGTAGACCAGGCTGGTCTCAAACTCACAGAGATCCACCTGCCTCTGTCTCCTGCATGCTGGGATTACAGGCGTGTGCCCCCATCAGCTGGCCCAGCTTAACTCTTAATTCTGGCACTCTAAAGTTGGAGTCAGGAGGACCAGAAGTTCAAAGTCACCCTTAGCTACACAGCGGAGTTTGAGACTAGCCTGGGCTACATGAGACCCTGTCTCAAAAGGCAAACAATGAAAACAACCATACCACAGGTGGTGCAGTGGGTACTTTTATTTTGAGCCATTTTGTGTGCGTAGAAACAAGCAGGTGTAGCCACTCACCTTCCCACAGCCTCCTAGAGGGGTCGGCTTGCACACTCCTGGCATTCAGCACATGCTTTGGCTTTACTCCTGTAACTTCTGCTTGCTCCTAAAACAAAACATGAAAACACCATCATTCAGACTTCAAATACCTGTGAACCACCTACAACATGCTTAAATGTAGTTAGGTTATTTCATATGACGCGCAGCAGTGTTAGGGAACATAGTATGATCACGCTGGTGATGAAAACACTGAAGCAGGAGAAGCCTCGTTTCTCAGGACCCATGTTCTTTCCAGTGCTTCACTGAATGGCTAGGGAGCTGGAGTCTCCTAAGAGGGGGTTTCAAATACATAGGAGTACAAAGGTATTAGACCAGGGATGAAAAAAAAACCTCAGTCCTAAATCATAAACTCAGATAAGCTAGTCATGCTGCAATAGTTCTGATTGTTACTGGATTCAGAAGTCAAATCCATGCTTCAGATCTGAGCACTACCATCAGTGGCTAACCTCATGCTAGGAGCTGAGGAACTGCTGAGGTTCGTCAGAGTTGCCAGATCTTCATTGCTTTCCAAAAGACACTGGTAGTAGGTTTTTGTTTTAATCAGACTTATTAAGGCATAAAATTTAATTTATTAAAGCACCCTTTGATACAACAAATTACATATACAAACTATAAACTTTTTTTTTTTTCCTGTATGACAGGGTCTCACTACATAGTCCTGGCTTGTCTAGAACTCTCTCTCTCTAAAGACCAGATTCACAGAAATCTGCACGTCTCTACCTCTTGAGTGCTGAGATTAAAGATATGTGCCAACGTAACAGCTCAACAAATGTACAAAATATAGAACAACTCTGTCACCCCTAAAAGGATCCCTAGAATTTTAATTTTAAAAAATCTTAATTTTCAGTGTTGGAAACCAACTAAAACTTATTCTATGCAACAGAAAAAAATATATCTTCAGCTCCTTTTTTGTTTGTTTTGGTTTATCTCTGGGCTCCCACTGAAGAACTCTGTGGCTGGGGCAAGAGAGAGGCCTGTTGCTGGTGCTGGTGGATCACACATGCAGGACTAGGGGCTCATTAACCAGTGCTGTTGTTGTGAATTAACACAATTCACACTTGGGACTTAACGGTCAAAGGTTCAGAATCCCTGGAGGGTCCCAGCAAAGGGTGGAAAATGTTTCTGGAGAGCTCCCTGACAGTCACAGCGTAACCAGGCCCAGTATAGGGCTTTGAACATGTATATCAGGCCCTGGTCTCTAGCAGAACTTATAGGTTTAAAGAAGAGCTGACGATCATCCCCCTGGACCAGTGCTCAGCATCCTTACACAGCTGGATCCTTGACTCTTTGTTTCAAGACAGCTATAGATGTTGAGTACCTTTTGTGTGCTAGACACACTTTTCAAAACATTCCCCAGCTTGGTTCCCTAATCTTCCTGTCCACTCTTTGAGGCAGATAATATTTACTAATGGGATAGTTCCTGACTTACAGAGAGAAAATGAGCAGCTGAGGAGTTGGACAAGGGCTCAAGGCAGAATTTTAAAACAGCAAATTTGCTTTGAGAGGCCAGGTTCATGCCGTACTGCTCCACTGCAAAGGGTGCTGTAGGGTCCACAACCCAGCCCCTAGGCTGAGGTTGACCACAGACAGTGGTGCCCCGTCCCCCAAACATGATTTGACTTCAGAACCAGTCTCAACCTGAACTACAGCAGCATCAATAGTTGACCTGAGTTGACAGGAGATAGGGTTTATTTTCCTATTCCAAACCCAACTCCTTTGTTCATCCTCCAGGGGAGTCCCCCAAATCCTCCTTCATGTTTTTCCTGTGCCGTAGTCACCTCTCAGTCTGTTCCCTTCTCACCCCTTTGTGGTTCCAGAGCATGAGCCCCCATCCTTGGAGATCACACAACTTTCAGAATTGGTTCTCTCCTTCTACTGAATGGGTCCAAGATCAAACTCAAGTTATCAGACTTCGCGGCCAGCGTCTTTACCCATCTTGTGAGCCCAAGGACACTAAGTTTTACTTTATCTTATCTTATCTTCCTTCCTTCCTTCCTTCCTTCCCTCCTTCCTTCCTTCCTTCCTTCCTTCCTTCCTTCCTTCCTTCCTTCCTTCTCTTTCTATCTTCCTTTCAGTACACATGTGGAGGTCTGAGGATAACTTGTGGGAGTCAGTTCTCTCTTTCTGTCATGTTGGTCCTAGGGAATTAAACTCAGTTCAAGAGGTTTGGCAGCAGTCGTCTTTACCCACTGAGCCATCGTGCCAGCCCAGTTCTGCTCTTTCAACAGTAATGGCACAATGCATGTAGAACACATAGCCCAGTGCCCAGCACATACAGACTAGCTGTTATTATGATCCTCGTGTCATCAGTGTGGCCCAGACCTGTGCAGTGGGCATACCCCTTCCTTCCTCTGCAGGATCCATCCTGCCACTCCTGTTTAGAAAGCTGGAGAGGCACTGCCACAGCCCTCCTCATCAGACCATCCTGAGGCAGACCTTATTGGCTCAAACTGTCCTTTCCTTCCTTTTCTTCAGTATAGGAAGGCTCCTGCATCTGCCTGCTCATGAGGGCTAATGTCCTGAACAGCCTGACTGTGTTAGGCCCACCCACAATCGAACCTGAAGCTGTCTGCAGCTGGCTTCTAATGATAATCTAAATCATTATTACAACCACACAAAGTTCAGTGAGCACTTTAGAAGATGGAGCAGGTAGTGGGTGGTGGGCTGGGGCTGAAGTTCAATGGCAGGAGGCCTGCCCTGTATACGTGAGACCCTGAGTTTAATCCCCATTATTACCACCTTGACCAAGCCATGCCTGGCAGAATTTCCAAATTTAACAATGTTAGGATGTAGGTAAGGTCTACATATAATTACTACACCCCTGCTCTGATACGAAAGAAATGGATGGTCTCCAGAAGTTTCTGGAATCCTGATTTTGGCAATGAGAATTTGTTAAAGACCCATGGTTAAGCCTCAGTTTGCCGAGGTCTCTGAACTACAAGCTCATCTCTGACAAGTAGTTAAGCTTTCTGTCATGATCCAGTTAACAACTGGCAATCTAAAGGGAAGACAGGCCCCAAACCAGCAGACAGTCACTGATACATGGATTAAGCACAACGATCAGAGGGAGATCCAGTGGACAATGCAGACAAGTAGTGTTGCAAGAACGGAAAGACAGTTCCGTGGCCTCCCTGTTATGGATATAGACATGGTTTTGTTTTGGTCCCAGGTTTGGGATGTGGGACTGATTCAGATGGTCCAAAGCAGCAGGGTATTTGCTTCATGGGGCTCTGAGAGGAGCTCTTTGCCAGCTGCATGTAGTTTAAATCTGAGGACTCTGGAGAGGGGATAAATGCCAGAGCCCAGAGAGTGTGGAAAAAGAGAAAGAACCATGCTGCTCCTGCTTCCCCCTTGCTGCTCCTGGTTGCTGTTGTGAGACAACAAAACTGAGATCTCCTGAAATGAGAATTGGATTGCCTCCAAGGAACCTGATGACTCTAACCAGCAGGAAGCAGCTAAGAGAACTGCATCCCCTCTCCTACTAATCCTTTCTCTCTCCTAGCTGGTGTTGGGGTGATGGAAGGGACTGGGGTGAAGTAGGGAGAAAAAGATAAGAAACGTAAATAAGAGTTTTTGTTTTTTTTTAAGTACGCCAACACCTCCCCTGTCCTGCAGTGGCTATATATCCACAGTGCAGGCATCATTTAATTCCATTGATCTACAAACAGCGCTTATAAATAAATCAGGAAAGGGTGGAAAACAAAATAGGAAAGATAAAGTTTGTGAACAGGCAGTTCACTGAAAATGCAGAAGACTTGAAAAGATGTTCCATCCCTTAGTAAAAGACATCAAAGCTTTGCTATATGCCATTCTGTCATCTCTTGGGATTTTTATGAATTCAAAACAAGAATTAGTTGTATAAGACATATCACCAATTGCTTCATTTGAGTCTGATTTTATTAGAAAACTGTAAGAATTTTAAGAGCTTTAAGACATTCAGGGATGCTTGAATACTAACATATACTAAATAATAGCAAAATTGTTTGCTTTGGGGCTATAATAACAGCGATATGATTGTGCTTCTGAAATAGCCCCTGTCTACTTGTTGTTTGTTGTAATGGTGGGTTTCAGACGTGGGCCTCATGCATGCTGGATAAGTGCCCCCTTTGAGCAAGACCACAAATTCCAACTTGGTTCTCTCCCATAAGTATAAGAACACTAACCCTCTAAAAACACATTATCCAACATTTTGATTCTCTTCCTTCTTCTTTTCAGTTGATGAATGAGGATGAGATCTTACGTGCATTTTTAATACTTCATGTGATAAATTTCAAAAACATTAAAAAAAAAAACACACCGTCAAGGACATTCACCCCACAATATCCAGGACACACAGGAAAGGTGGTATTTGCCTCCAGCCTAGAAGGTCTTCCTGTAAATTTCAAATTATCTATACATTTAGCATTGTATACTATAGTTTCTGTGTAGATAGGTATTATCTTGTAGCAAAAACTATCCCCCCAAAAGGCTTGGAATTCATTTCCCACACTCAGGAAAACTAAGGAGAAAGCTCTTTCCTGAAGGCACAATGAACCTCCACTCACAGCCCCTGGAATGACTTAATATATATTTGGTTTTTTAAGACAGAGTTTCTTCGTGTAACCCTGACCTTCCTAGGACTTGCTCTGTAGACCAGGCTGGCCTCAAACTTACAGAGATACACCTGCCTCTGCCTCCTGAGTGCTGGGATTAAAGGCCAGCACCGCCACCTGGCTGAATTTATTTTTTTTAAACAAGGCCTCATATAGCCCAGGCTGGCCCTGAGTTCCTGACTCTCCCACATGCATGTGCTCATGGCTGGTCAGGATTTATCCAAACTGTGTGCTTTTAGTTATAAAATCTGTACCTGGACAGCTCAGGAAACTGGAAACTGATCCCCCTGGGGACCCAGGAACAGGAAGATGATGCTTGTCATACTAGTTTGTTTGTCTCTCATTTTGGTATTGACTAAACCTAGGGGCTCCTGCATCATAGGGGTTTTTCTTTTACTATGTTGAACTACCAAATTAAAGACATTATTAGTTTAATTTTCTTTTTAAGGCTATT